ACAAACGTCTGAAGCAATAAGAGAAACATACAAAATGTGCAGAGTGGGGGTACACAAGGACTGAAATTGAGAACCGCTGGTATACATGATCACCACGTAGCAGATCTATACAGGTGGAGCTGGGGAAGGTGGAGGGTTTCTGAAGCAAGCTGCGACTGCTACGGCAAGCCCTAGTCATATATTTGAATGTTGAGCAGCGAGCTCATTGGCTAACGATACAGGAGAGAACCAATCAGCTGTGCCATGTGATAATGATATCATTAGGTCAGATTGAGTTAGACCTATCCGACTGCGCCATCTAGAGTTTCATGCCAGAACTCTGTATTTGTGCTGCTAAATATTTTTGTGGAAACCATGATCCATTTTTTTCAGGATTCTTTGATGAACAGAAAGTTCAAAATAACAGCATTTATTTGAAATAGAAACCTTTGTAACACTATAAATGTCTGTACTGTCGCTTTTGATCAATTTAATGCATAAAAAAATCTTACTGCCTCCCAACTTTTGAACAGCAGTCAAGATGTTTTGCTGAACATGGTAGCTGGTTTGTTGTTCCATAATGCTCTACCAGCTCTACCGGCTGGTCAACCAAGTAAAACTACTATGGAACACCATGCACCATGTTCCAGAAATCAAGCTGGTTTTTCTTGTAGGCAGACGCATAACAGGTCTTGTCTCTCCTATAGTGCTCCCCCCTGCTCCGCCGCCCCCTCCTCCTGCGGCCAAGAGACCACCGCCTCCAGATCCAAAGGCATCTCTTCCCCAAGTGCCTCTGGTTCCATCTGTACCCTCTGCTCCCCCAGTTATACCACCCACCCCAGCTAGACCAGCACCCATAGTGCCACCTGCTCCAGTGTTGCCCACGTCATTTTCATCTAAACCCCCACCTCCACCTGTACCCCCACAGCCAAAGGCCCCTGCACCTAAACCAGTGAAATCCCCCTCAAGGTAAGATGTCACCTCCCAGCTTCATTACAAATAACATTTATCTGATGTTGTGTTTTTATAAGGATTTCAGCAGTTTGTTTTGTAGCATTATTAGCATTAGCTACATTATATCAGCTGCTCTGTTCTGTGTATTTCTCAGGGATCCTGTTGGTCCATTTAGTAAAGATGTAAATGTAAATAAAGCTCCACCCATTGTCCCCCGACCACGTGACAAAACAGGTGAATTTAATGATACATACATACTGATGAATACAGCTCTGAAGCCAAAGAAATTAGAGATATTTTGGGTTGAAATAAGCTTAAATGTTGATTTTCATTAAACATTTTTTTTCTCCAGACTCCAGACCATCATCTGCTTCTACAACAGCTCCTGTTCCTGCTCCTGCCCCCAAACCCAGAATGGCCCCACCTGTAAGTGACCATTTAAGACAGCCATTAAAATGACATTTTTCCCCCTCAAAAGTACACTACCGTTCAAAAGTTTGGTGTAGGTACAATTTTTTAATGTTTTTGAAATAAGTTTCTTTTGCATACCAAGCCTGTGTTTATTTGATCAGAAATACAAGTAACAACTGTAATAATGTAAAATAACTGTTTTCTATTTGAATGTGTTTGAAAATGTAATTTATTCCTATGATGGCAAAGCTGAATTTTCCGCAGACATTACTCCACTATTCAGCGTAACATGATCCTTCAGAAATCATTGTAATATAATCATCTGGTGCTTAATAAACATTTCTTATTATTATCAATGTTGAAATAGTTGCTTAGTATATTTGTGAAAACGATGACAGATTTTTTCAGGATTCTTTGATGAATAGTATTATTAAATTCTTCTAAAAAAATTACCTCAGAATTTTAAACAGTAGTTTATTTTTAATTCTTCTTTTAAATGAAATTTTTCATTAATTTGATTTTTGTTTTATTTTACTTTTTTCAAACGGATTAAAAAATATTTATAAAGTTGCTCAGAAAATATTTTGACATTTAAGCCACATTTAAATATGAAATTTAATTGCATTACATAACAAACCAAGTGACATCTGCGAACATGAAAAGTTATTTTTCTTTAAAATAAATATCATTTTATACTTTGTTATTATACATATTAATTTTGATGTTGGTGGCAAATCTAAAACATTTCTGTTGTATTTGTTTCAGAAACAGAGACCTAAGAGAGTGAAAGCCCTATATAACTGTCAGGCTGATAACCTAGATGAACTGACCTTCTCTGAAGGAGAGGTAATAATAGTGGATGGAGAGGAGGACAAGGAGTGGTGGGTGAGTACGCAGTCATACTTTACACAGTACATGTGCACATCAGCTGACTGAATCATGTGTGATCTTGATGACTCTTCCATGTGTCCTGCAGGTGGGCCACATTGACGGGGAACCGACCAGGAAGGGCGTTTTTCCGGTCTCGTTTGTTCACTTCATCACTGACTGATGTCATACATTGCTGTCTTACTAAGATCACAGGCACAGGCTTTTTGTGACAGAAACCTGAGACCACTGATTATTTAACAATGGATTAACTAGTCGCCATCCTTATGGCTGGATGGTGGCGTACGGGACATTCACAAACAGAAGACCTCAGGAAACGGCTCACTTTATCAATTATTCCGATTCCAAGTGCAATTACCTCCAACTTTAAAGCAGAAATGTTGTATGAACTGTGATGAGTGCTATGCTTTATATGGGGACCATTTTTATAAACCGTCATATTGTTGCATCCTTACTCTCATCTTCATAGAGCTTTTTATCTATATCAGTTGCAGCGCAACTCTTATTTTGCAAGTGCAGTTAAGTGACATGTAGTTTGCATACAAATATGTTCTCCAAGTTCTGTTACTGAACAAGCCATTAAACCTTTTACTCTGTACATTTAAAGGATTGGCTTTATTTTCAGCACTAGATATATTTTTACAAAAATACCTGACAAAATATCAAAGTAGTGGCTCAACAGTTCACAGTAATGTTATAAATTGTAATAGTTACACTACATTTGAAAAGTTTGGGGTGATATTTTCTTAATATTTCTTTAAGAAATCTATTATTTTCCCCAAACTGCACACAGCAGTACTGTAAAATATTATTACAATTTAAAATAACTATTTCCTATTTTAATATATTTTAAAATGTAATTTATTCCTGACTGCATTACTCCAGTCTTCAATGTCACATGATCCTTCAGACATCATTCTAATATGCTGATTTGGCACTCAAGAAACATTTCTGATTATTATGTTGACAACAGCTGCGCTGCTTAATATTTTAATGGAAACATTTTTCTCAGGATTCTTTGATTAATAGAAAGTTCAAAAGAACAGCATTTATTTGAAATACATTTTTTATACCATTGTAATTGTCTTTACCGTCACTTTTGATCAGTTTAATGGGTCCTTGCTGAATAAAAGTATTACCGGTAATTTCCTTAAAAAAAAAAAAAAAAAATTCTCAAGACCTCAAACTTTTGGACCATAGCATACATTTACAAACCACTCCCCCATAAACCAGGACATCTTGCCATATTGAAACAAAGGGTCCAATGATCATCTTTGGCCACCACACATTTGATTAATTTACAGTATTGTCAGATGGTCCAAGAAAAAAAAGTCACAATTTTCAAAAGACAACCTTCAAGTTTCCTCATAATGCTTATAGAAAAAACACTTTAAACTGTTCAAAATACTCATCCATATATTTACAAATCAAAAATCTTCACAACATATGTCTTAAACCACAGCAGAGTTAATATATGCACAGTGGTCTCTCCAAAAAGGCCAACAAAGTCAGTTAAGATGGGGTAGTTCATCTCAAAGAAGCAAAGCCTCTTCTTTTAGGTCCTTATGTGCTCTGTACAGCTGCTACAGTATTTGAAACATCTGCAAAAACAAATATGAAAAAAAGTTCAGTCAATCATTCTGCAGCCCTATCCAATGCAATATCAACTGCTGCAAAGTTCACCACTCTGCAGTGGTGCTGGAGCAGAGTAGTTGTTCCACTGGAATAAGGTGGGTACAGCCCCTTTCTTCAGCAAGCGGCGCCCTTTAGGAGTCAATGGCTCTTTCACATCTTCACTCTTGAAATGACGACTGCAGACTCTCATATGGGAAGTGATGATTAAATCCTTGCGTTGAATGCTGCATATCCACTTTTTGCATCTTTCTTCGTCCGTGGGGAAAGAGTGAAAGCTCAGCACAGAGTTGAACTTTGAGGAAGCCGAACACAATGGGACACAACAATGTTCGGCCGCAATACTGTCTGCCCGCCATTGATATTTAAACTTTCTGGATGCCTTTACTACAATGAGATATTGTGTATATTTATAACAGTACTTAGCTGTATACTTCAAAAATGAATCATTGTTGAATCTGATACATATACATATTGTATGATAACATACAAAACGATCAAATTTTGCTATAAGTTTGATCGCAACATATAATCATTGCTGTTAAAGGGATAGTTCACCCAAAAACGAAAATTAGCCCATTATTTACTCACCCTCAAGCCATCCTAGGCATATATGACTTCCTTCTTTCAGATGAATCCAATCGGAGTTATTAAAAATTGACTTTGATCTTCCAAGCTGTTTAATGGCAGTCAGCGGGTGTTGCAGTGCATCCGTCCAAAAGAAGTGAAATAAAGCGCATGCATCCATAATAAAAAGTGTCTCACACGGCTCCGGGGGGTGAACAAAGGCCTCCTGTATAGAATCGATGCGTTTTTGTAAGAAAAATATCCATATTCAAAATGTAAATCACTTTAATCTAGCTTGCACCAACAGTTGTGCACGGAAGCAGCTCCGGGCTGATGACGTATGAGTTCAGCGTTGCACATTTCTGCCATATGGACATCAACGTGAGATAGTCACCACTGATAAGCTATTACTAAATATAATGTAGAAACTTTAATTTTCTGTAAAGCTGCTTTGCAACGATTTGCATCGTGAAAAGCGCTATACAAAAAAAAGAGAAAAAGAAAGATATGTAGGCTGCGTCCTGTGCATAGAGTCCACTGAATAATGCAGGTCTCAAATGTTGACCTTTGCTAAATAACAATCCACAATCATTGAGCTTTAATGATGGACTGCTGCAAATATTGTGCTAAATACTGATGTTTGTTGAATGGACATATTTTGTTCTTTAACATCTAATACCTTTCAAATGTCTGGGGTCGGTAAGATCTTTTAATGTTTTTGAAAGTCTCTTTTGCTCACCAAGGCTGCCTTAAAATATTAAATGTATATTCCTGTGATGGCAAAGCTGTACTTTCAGCAGCCATTACTCCAGTTTTCAGTGTCACATTATCCTTCAGAAATCATTCTAATATGCTGATTGGGGCTCAAGAAACATTTCAGGATTCTTTGATTAATCGAAAATTCACAAGAACAGCATTTTTAAAAAAAATAAAAATCTTTTGTAACATTATAAATATCTTTACTGTCACTTTTGAGCAATTTACTGCCTTCTTTCTGAATTAATGTATTAAAGGCCCCAATATACTTCAAGCGAAATCGAAGAATGAACTGATGTGACATCATTTCGAACAAAATCCGGCCAAATCGAAGTTAGTTTTGGGAGTTCTAAACGGCTTGCCAAAGCAAACTTTCCGGAAAAGTTAGTTCCGGCTGCAAAACACCTTCGTACTACCATTGGTCTGTGACGATTACATCATAGGAGGTGTGCGCTGAGGCTCTGCCTTCTTTCACACGGAACTCTTCTCTGGGTTCATTTCATCTGTGCGATGACCACGCAGTGGAGAGCCGCTTTATAGTAGCAAATTAAGTTTGGCTTTTGATGAAATGAGACACTGACACTGTTTTTCATGTTTAATACTGCTGCTTGCTTTTAAGCTATATATTGAATAAATTGCCATGTAAATACACATGACGTGACTTCACAGGAGTGCTAATTTGCAGAGCTCGTGCAAGCATAGCTATGAACAGATGCTTTTTTTTTTAATAAAAAAAAGCTTGCTGTTCTCTCCATTTTTGTTGTGTTTATTTTGTTACTGAGAGGAAAGCGCGCAGCACATATTTACATATTCATTTAAACGTCACTTTCATCAGAGTGGGTGGCGTCGGGATGTTCGATAACATTATACCGCTGCTCACGTATTTCGAACTTCGTTTTACCCCTAAACGAAGAACAAAAAAGAACTTTGTTTTGAGTATATCAGGGCCTTATTAATGTATGAATGTATTAGCCTAATTTCTTAAAAAATAAAAATCTTACTGACCCCAAACTTTTGAACGTTATTGTAAGTGATCAAAATGCATCAAAGTGTGGAAAACAAGGCTATATGGCTAACCTGATATAAGTGGTTGTGTGTGAATCTGGCTCTCCTCTAGTGTTAGAAAGCAGGCTGGTTTGACAAGCTTCGATTCTGTGTTAGTTGGATCCACAGCTTCACTTGGGCCCTCAGTCTCACAGGTGAGTATATGGATGGGCCCTCGGCAGCCCTTCAAGTGGATCTGGATAGATTCCTAGAGCAGGACGTAAACATAAGTTTATATAACACCTATTACTACCTGCTATCAGATCAGATGAGTGTTCTTTAATCATGATTCAAATTAGGGGTGGGCAAGATGACCAAAAGGAACTGGAAAAGTCCTTTCCCTGTTGTCCCCTCACATCAAAAATCAACCAACTTATTTGTTTAAAACGGTTTGGGTCTTTTTTCGCTTAGAAACAGTGCTTTATCTGTGCAGATTTCTCTCCCAATTCAGACGAGACATTTTTTTCCACTGGAGAAATCAATGTTTAAGGACTCATATTTTAGCCGGAAGCAACGGTTTGAAATTAAAAACATCTCAAAGATAGATTTGTTTATTACAAACATGCAGCTTTTTATTTCACAGGAAATTCATTTGATGGACTGGAGTCATGTGGATTACATGTGTATTACTGTGATGTTTTTATCAGCAGTTTGGGCTCAGACAAGAAAGCACTGGGTGAAGAGAGGGGAGCGTGACCGGCAAAGGACCTCGAGACGGGAATTGAACTCGGGTCGCCGTGAGCACAGGTGCGCTGTATGTTGGCGCACTAACCACGGGGCTATTGGCACCAACTAGGGGGAGTAATTTTTATTTTTGGAAGAACTATTCCTTCAATGGCAATCACAGCAGCAGGTGATATAATATAGTCTTCTGTCACTTTAAGACCTCATGCATGGATCCAATATATATATATATTGTCATACCGCCCAGCCCTAATTTAAATATTACATTTTAAAAAATGACTCCTAAGGCTCAAAGCCTTTCAGCACGTCTCTCACACTTACTTCAGTGGGAGTGGGCACCTCTAGCTTTGTCTCTTCAGGGGCCCTTATAGCTATTATAGTCTGGTCCTTGAAAACGCCAATCTGACAGATGTCCTCATATGTGACATAAGCTGAGGTACAACTGCAGTTAAGACCAAAACAGCTGAAAGAACTACTATAACATTTGTTAGACATTATCACAGAAATATGAGAGGATATTCAGCATTGTCTTTGAGGTCGGTCAGGGCAAAAAGCTGTTGGGCACAGTCTTTGATGAGCCAGTCAAGGGCCTCCTCCGTTGACTTCAGATGAAGTAGGTCAGCTTTCGTCTTGGCACTCCACTGGTTCCCGAAGTTGCTTGGTGCTGGATTCCTTGAACATACACAGAAAAATCACTGTGTAAATTGCATACTGATATATGAAGACAATCAAACCTCTAGACTTGTTTCCAACTAATGTATTTCAATGGACAATTTTCATTTTTAAAAACTACAAAATCTTGTTGTGGAACTGTGAAAGTAACATTCGGTATAAACTTACATCCACTGGACCTTGTTTTTGGACATCTTTTTGATTAGCTGGATGCCGGTTAGGACGTTGGTGATGTCATACACCCGTCTCTTTCGTGTGCCCAGTTTTCGAGTAACCTCATTGAGGTCAAGGACTCCATTTGGTGCTGTGTGAAGCAGCTGCATGAAGCGTTTGGTCAGTCGTCCAAGAGCAACGTCAGAGCGATTCTGGGCTGGAATGAAAATTGGGACTATTCAAGGTAGTTTTTTTTTACTTTGGTCAAATTACATTCATATTCTGTGCAGCAACACAAAAAGTGAATAAATTAAAAATTAATGAGAACATCCCATACCTTGTCTGGAGGATGCCCCTGTTGCTTGATTCACATGATTGTTAATGTTGGGATTGTTAATTAAACTAAAAGAAAGCACATTATATAATGAATGGGCAAAATAATCAATATTGTTTCAGCCATTTATGAAGTAGTCATTTAATGTAGTGTTACCTTTCAGTGTAACACTGTCCTTGGAATTTACTATTCATGCTATATGGACCATTATCTGCAAGACTGTGGTTTTCATCTTCTTCTTCCTCATAATCCTCAAACTCGACATCATAAAGATCTTCTTCTGCAGCAACTTCACCCTTTCAAGACAAAATTAAAGTTAATAACACTTGATAATCCATAGCATTACCCAACTTATTTGATCACAAAATCGTCCCAGCTATTTGAGCACATGCATTTTACTTCTTGATAACTCAATTAAAGATGCATGAATTTTACATTTACATTTAGCAGACGCTTTTATCCAAAGCGACTTACAAATGTGGACAATGGAAGCAATCAAAATCAACAAAAGAGCAATGATATGCAAGTGCTATAAGAAGTCTCAGTTAGCTTAATGCAGTACACGTACCAAGTTTTTTTTTAAGTAAATGAATAGAGTGCAAGTCTAAAAGGGACACGTTTTTTTTAAAGAATAGAATTAGAATAGAGTGCTAGAGTTAGAGGGTCAAAAAAGATGGAAGAGATGTGTTTTAGCCGATTCTTGAAGATGGCTAAGGACTCAGCTGCTCGGATTGAGATGGAATTTTAAATTTATTTTTAAAATGTTATTATTAATTTAATTTTTAAAATGTAAATGTAAATTTTGAATTTTATTTGTATTAATTTTATATAATTAACTATTTCTGGTTGCAGCTGTACAAATATAGAGTTAATATGGAGCTCGAATGGTAGTAAGGCCCAAATAAAAGCTTTAAACAATAAAGTAATATTGTTTAATATTAATTTTATCACACCATTTTGGATAAAGTAATGTTAATCCAAGAATAAATGCATATGTATTTATTTATTTTTACTTTTACACTTAATGTATTAATACTTTGAAATATACAATTTTAATGTGAATATTTTTTTTTTATTCAGAATGATTTTCACTGTTCACAAATAGGATCACGTTGGGTCATGATTTATATGAGGCAGAACATCTTAATACATTAATAATAAACCATTTAACTATTATAAGGCCAAAATATGGTAGTTGCATCTGTATTATGTTTTATGGATCTTTGATCAATGCATTTTGGCTGGTGTAAATAGACAACTCCTGACCCATCGAACTCAAGAGTAATATATAATCACAAATGTTACCAGTAAAATGAAATGAGTTAAAAGCTCTTATACAAAAACTACCTATGTAAAAAATACTGAATGACTTCCTGATATATAGATAGCTGGTTGTCGGAGTATGTATTGCATTGCACCCTTCCAACCTCCTCAACTGGGTCCGAGTGCTCGTCCTGCTCATCACACGAGCTCCAGCCGGCGACCGGTCCCTCTAATGGCGGCATAATAGGGATCGCGTCCGGGCTAATGCCGTTCGGCGTGATGTGATGGCTCAGGAAATGATCCTCGCATATCTGATGCTGATCTGTGATTTCGAGCGGAGTCTCCCGTAAAGCGGCCAGCCACACTTTCACTCGGGCCTTGTCTTTGGGGAACCTGAAAAACCTCTTGTGCGTACGGCTCGATTGCCCGCCCGGTCTGAGATCACTGTGGTTTATGCATCCTTGGACCACACACTTCGCCATCGTCGCAACACTCTGTCAGATTATATCGCTACATTCAATCAGATCAACGTGCAAATGCAAAGTTACATACATCACGAGAGGAAAGGCAAAACATGATGTCACGTGATCACGTCTGACCAATCAAATGATTAGATTTTCTGCTTCATGTTCTCTCTATCGGATAAGCGCACCTAGTGACATCTAGTGGAATGGAGAAGTAATTTATTTTATACTAAATGTCTCCCAAAGCCACATGACAATGAATTACGAATTAGCGGTGCAAACAAAGTCACTAAACTGTAACTAGACTTGATGGTTATAATATTAGCAAACTGAGGTAACCAGTTATGCCTTATATGGTAACATTTTTACACGGTTTAAAAATATATATTGCTAATGCTTACAAGCTGTTAGCTGCGGTGATTTACAACCATAGAAATGTATACATATACATACCTATGTTTACAACAACTACACAAATTTACACATCACGTTACTTCTCATTATTGAAATCATTATGTTCAGTGATTTAGTAGTTAGCAAATGTAAAAAAAACACAAGGCACAAGGCTTAATTTCTAGGAATTAAAAAAAATTTAACCATTTAAATTAATTAAACAATTTAACTACGTGACATTATAATATAAAACCAATACTAAAATGTTCGGGAAAACATACCTGTTATCGCACAAAGCTCCGTTTTTGGAATTACAATTTCATGTTTTTTATAATAATTTTACAACTTTTAATGTATGCAATAATATAAATCCATTAAACGACAACACCATTTGATCTAAAGGTATCAAACAAACTGTAAAATATTCAGAATAGTATTCCCTATAATGCACAAGTCTTGGTTTTCCAGATTATGCCTTTACTGTTTTTATATACAGTACTGAATCCATATTTGTCATGTTTTATATACTGTACCCACTTAAATTAATTAAACTCTGACACCGTTTGAGATAAAGGTATCAAAACAACTATAAAAATATCTAAATATTATTCACTTTAATGCACAAAGCTTGTTTTTTCAGATTATGCCTTTACTGTTTTTATATACAGTACTGAAACCATATTTTTTTCGTATGTTTTATATACTGTACCCACTTAAATCAATTAAACTCTGACACAGTTTGAGATAAAGGTATCAAACCAACTGTAAAATATTCAAAATATTATTCA